ATTGCCTCCTGATGACGTGGTCGCCGATAGAGGCGTGTGGTTGATGAGGTTTCATCACCGACATGTGGGTGTGTGTTAAATGCAGTGGGTATATTCACCTCTCTCGTCCGTGTGTAGGCAGGACGTATGGCTACCTCTCCTATTTGTGGGCAGCGCGGACCATAAGTGTAGACAGAGTTTATCATTTCATGCATGCTACATCATTTATGTTTGACAAGGGAGGAATGAGAGGTTGTGCGTATGGGTACGGGGGTACTCCCTGTGTCCGTGTTGTTCCCAGATGTTGCCGCATCAAGTGGCAGCATGTGTCATGGACAGGTAGACGTGGAAGGACGGCGACAGGTGAACGGCAGCAGTAGTATGTTGTGCATGGTGGCATGTTGGGCTTGTGCAGAGGCGCAGTCCATCTTCGACCACACACAAAAAAGTTTGCTCGTACCTGTGGGGATTTTTCGAAGTCCTGGGTCAGCCAAGAGCAGCAGCAAGGAGCAGACGCAGTGCAGTATACTCTACAGCTTTTACAGTCCGTCCTCCTCAAGTCCGATCGGAGATGATTAGTATCGCACAACGGCTGGATCCGAAATGCCGGCTAGCTCCGCAATCCAAGAGAGGTGGGTGGCTGAGCTAAAACCGGAATGACTGCATGCGTGCTCCCCTCGGCCATGTCGCTGACTGGCTCTTTGAAGTGTAGATTTATTTCTGGTTCAGCGGAATTTGATTCCCAATTTTTCGTTGCCACCTGGGTGTATGGGAATTTTTATAAAAGGTGTACAGAAATTGATTATCCTAATTGCAAGGGACACGTTTCATTTTCAGTGTTCCCCCTTGCGGTTTCAAAGGTCAAATATGTGGTTACCCACAGATTTTCGCATCGCTATAAGCTAGCAGGCTCCTACTACAGTATGTGTGTACATTTTTGGTAGCGCTAGAAGCAATTTGAACATGATTATTACAGCGCCGGCCCGCACTTAAGAATGGCACAACAAATCCAAAACTTAAGAATTTACCGATAAGAACACGTACGTGCTCAGCTGCACGCCCTGTTAGGAACAAGAACACGCACCTGAGGTGCAAAACCGCTGCTACAAATAAGAACGACAGCAATGCAGCGGCTGCCAGATAAGAATACTCGCAGGGGGAGGGAGGGAAGAGGGGGGAGTGATCCCAGAGTACAGAGTATTGGATTTGGGAGGGGTACATACCCCACATATCAACATTTGTAATAATAGTACTTTTTTTGAAAAAGTGTGGCCCGTTAGGGGTACGCTTTTTGTTTTATTTCGCAAAAAAAAAGCTCTTTAGAGGGATCGTGGGTGGAGTATGTGCGCACGAGAAAAAGAATAATTTTCATGCACAGGGGCGTGAAAATTTAGCCATGGCTGTCTGTCTGGTGTCTGCGCGCCCTAAATACCCAGCAGACTCGAGCCCATTTCACCATATCGGCACCAAATTGCAAACTAAAACTTGCGCACAACAAGTAACATTTTGCCCGAGCTGTCCCAACCGCTACCTTTGCAATCCGTGGTCGGTGTCTCGAGATAGCACACCGTTTGTGCAAATATATATGTCACATGGACGCATCCCCGGGAGGCGTCGTCATTTTTGTTTTTCTCTGGGCAACAAACTACACGCTACACGCACGCAAGAAGAAACCACGACGCACTGCCGCCGTGCTGCACACACTGCTGCTGCTACTGGCAAGACACGCACTACACAGAGACAGGGAACATGGACAAGGGGGGCGGGACACACACACATACTGCTGTTGGCGACGGCGGAGGAAGCGGGGAACGTTTGGTTGGTCTGGGGTTCATCGCTGATGATGTTGTTGTTGTTGTTTCCGTTGTTTGTTGTTGTTCAACGCTGCCGGCCTTTTTTTCGCCTTTTTTTCTCTGGAGAGAGAGGGAGTCCCACCAACCAGCGTGTGTTGCACACACCACACAGCGAGAGCGGGACGGGAGCAGGGTGTGCCCTATACTACTGCTGCTGCTAGCTTTCGGCGGAGGAAGCGAGAGGAGAGATATTGATTGGGCCTCTGTGGGCCCATCGGTTATTCACAGCACGGGACCAGTAACACATCACGCTTGTTCCTAGACGATGTCGTACCACTGCTGTGCTGTGCACCTCTCTACACTCATTGTGGGCGAGAGGGTGTGTCGCCTCTGCTGCTGCTGCTGTGCCTTCGGTGGATGTACGCCAGTCGCGCTGCTAATCTGTGTAAAACGATATTTTTTGTTCCTCCGCTTACTTTTTTTTTTTCTGTCGTGCAGCACTGTTCTGTGATCATTTTCCCACTCACGCGGTTTCTCCCACCCTCTCCTCTCTTGCTGGCAGGGCCACAGGCAGGAACGCTTCGGCTCACCCCACCAATGTAATGGTGCTCACCCGTAAGAGCGCGGGCCTCGCCCTCTTGTTCCTCGGGCTTGCTGCTAGGCAAGCCTCGGCTGTCACCTCCTGCCTCGACCTCATCACCGCGGTTGACGCCATCTTCGATACAGGGACGATAGAGCTCGAGGGCGGCTTTACCTGCGACATATTCATCACGGTCACTGCTGGCCAGGATGTCACCATCAGCGGCGCCTACACGATCACCATCGGCGCGGGGTTCGCCGGCAGCACGGGCGCGGACGGCAGCCTGTTCGTGAATGAGGGCGGGCTGAAGCTCGACGGCATCACATTCGCCACGGAAACAACGGATGGGAACCGCGCTGTCTGGAACGTCGGAACGCTTTCGGTGGAAGGCTGCACCTTCGAACTTTACCCGACCGGAGCATTTCTTTCCAGGGGCGGTGTGGTAAGTGACACCACACACGCCAGCAGCAGATATCCTCGTCCTGCCTTTTCGTTGGCTTCCCCTCTTGCACAATAGCTTTGCCGTATGTCCGGAGGTTGCACACGACACCACACCTACAGCAGTACAGCAGTACCTCCTGGACTGAACAGATTTTCGAAGCTTGATTGCTGCAGCTAATACACGGCAGTGTCTGCTGTGCTGCAAAAGGCGGCGTAGGAATGGTCTCGTTCCATAGCATACCGACAGGGTATTATTTGCTTTTGACATCCTCTTCGTCTGGAGTGCTCGAGCTTTTACAACCGGTCCCGCGGATGTGGTATCTGAGGCAACCTGCGGTACCCAATTACCTTGTGCTTGCCCTGGTGCCGTGTCATCTCCGGAGATCAGAATGCTGCCTCGATTCAAAATGCAGATGCAGTGCTGCACGACAGAAAAAAAAAAAG